TCGGCTGCAGGATTAATTTGGCGGACGGATCAGAGGGATGCCATTTGGAGAGGGCGTTCCCAAGTTTCTGACGAATGGTGGGGTACACGCTCGATAGCCGATCACCTGAGATGAGTTAAATTGTGACTGCGCTGAATTATTCGAATGTTCGAGTTCAAGTGGGAAGTGGTCGTCATTCATTCATAATGTTTGACTGTAGTGTGGCCTATTCAAAATTTACTCGTCAGTCGGTACGATGATCAAAAAAAAAAAATCCAACGAACCCATGATGAAAAGCCAGGGCTGGGTCCAGGTGTGGATGGGGATGGTGTCGGTCAGTGGGTTCCAATCGTTGATCTGCATTTGTAACTTGGGGTAGATGAACTGGTCGATGAGTGAGGTCACCATCCAGGACTGCAGGAGAGGCAGCCAGTGCTCCAACAACTCCAGCATCGGGTTCGCATCACGTACGTTCCAGTTTCTGTGAGTGTATGTATGTGTGTGTGTGTTTGTGTGTACGTATCTATATGTTTGTGTGTATGTATGTGTGCGTGTGGATGGTTTTTATTGGGTGATTCAATAAACAAATATATAGACGAATAAGCGGTAACAAATGAGCAAGAACACAAAATTTTTGATCAAAAACAAAAACTGATATACAAGTTAAATAATGATGCCGACTAGCAAGTAAAAACCAGAACATTCATTTCTCACTGAAGCATATCAATCAAAACAAACCTGACGGCCAATCGTATCTGCGGTATCACTATATCCCAGACGAGCTTATCATACGGATCCATATCATTGGCCACCTGGTTGTTCACGCGATCATACTGTAGAACGCCTGATTGGTAGGAGGTGTGGCAAGATGAAAGAGTCTTCTTCATGGATAGCATGAAGTCGATCCCATGCTTCGGATTGGAGAGAGCATTCCAGTTTTCAAACTCCTTCGACAGCTGTGTATAAAAACAAATATGCGACAAACATTATGAGGATGGTCGAAGATGACGATGACAGTTACAATGATGTCAACTACACTCTAGGATCTTATATGTATTTTAAAAAGAAATTCATACAATTCCTCATTAATCTATCTATCCATCTATCATCTAACATTCAAGCAATTTTCGGCTATCTATATCTATTCCATCCATCTATCTATCCATCCATCCATCCATCCATCCATCCATCCATACACCCACCCACCCACCTACCTACCTACCTACCTACCTATCTATCTATCTATCTATCTATCTATCTATCTATCTACATATCTATCTATCTATCTATCCATCCATCCATCCATCCAACCTTCCATTTATCCATCCATCCATCAACTCATCCATCCATCCATCCACAACTAACCGAAGGAATGATGACGTTGAGGACTTCGGTGGAGAGGTCGTAGAGTAGGTACTCGTGTTCGTAGGACGTTTGCAGCCTGTTTATCAACTCCACACATTTCGATAACTTGTCAGACGATGGAAACGATGATGAAGACGATTTGAACCTGGTGGATGGAAAAATTTTACAAATAAAACATTCCTGTCTGTATTTCGGTATTTCAAAACGCCACCATCCCACGCTGGCGCTCATTACATCTCTTACCGAAACATTCATTCACACATCTTACACGCATCCACACGTTTACGCAACACGCACACACACACACGCACACACACATACACACTACACATATACACACACACATACACGCACACACACTACACACACAACACCACACTACACACACACATCTGAAAACTACATCAAACTTACGTATTAATAAGCTGAATAACTTCTTCGAGCCTTCTCACGTTCTCATCGTCCTGCCTACATATTTCCTCCAGCCTCTGGCACTCGTGCTCCAGGTTTACCAGCAGGTCTTCCTCGTATTTGATCCTGCAAATAAGTTGTCATCTCTTATAAGGGACAAGTACATTGTTAGCGTTTCGGTGTAGTTTCGGTTAAGTGTTGTTAGCTCCAGTTTCAATAACCTCAGTCAGTACGTACATGATGTACAGTACATGGTATCATCAACTGATACGTTAACATCAACCAATCAACCACACTACCATTCAACAAATTCATACAAATCAACCCATAAACTTCATCTGACTAATCATTCCAACCAACAAACCACTAACCGACAGCCAAACACACACGACTACTGAGATCAACCGGCCAGTCAACCAACCCTAAAGCCACACAACCAGCTTACTTTTTATGAGTTTTAATGATGTTCTCTTCTGTCATATCGACCAGCAAATCCAAATTATGCAACAGTTCTGGCATATCAAACAGCCTCGGGGCCACATCACCCACCCTCTCTTCCTCATCTTCAGCAGGGGGCCTGGCATGCTTGCTGGAAAGTGCCTGGTACCCCGTCAAAACCCTCTGCTCCCTACCAGTCATGTCAATGACCTTCACCTTCGCAAAATCATTAGTCAGCTCTGGAACGTTGGATCTTCCCTGGAAGGGCTTTCCTGCTTTGGATTTCAAAAGTTCGCAGGCTGTGAAATATCTTGTCTTCGACTGCTTCGATTTGTCCTGCGTTCGTTTTAAATGGTGCTTATTTTTACTACATCATCACAGATGCTGTTTATGAAATAGCATTAAGGATTAGCAGACCATAATAATGAGATAAATGCAAGTGCAATAAGTTGCAGTCAGAAGCAAGCAAGAAGACTTCATTGGACCAAATTAACCAGCACCATAACAAGTCAGACAGCCCTACAACACAGCAAACACAACACCACAAAACACCGGAATGATCACACTGGACCACAAGTCACAACACAGCCACACACCAACATCATCACCACACTCCAACAACAGCTGACCATCACCATCACCCTCACTCACCTCTCCCTTCTTCCACCTCCTCATCTTCTTCTGGAACTCCTTCTCTTCTTCCCCCTCCGAATCGGGCTTCGTCGGGAAATCTGCCTCGGCCCTTTCAGACTTCTCGTTGCCGTAAAGACCGATGGCCCCCCTACCCTTCCTCTGCACGGCCTCC